CGCTGCGACTGCGAGCACGGCGCCGGCTGTGACCCAGCCACCGGTCGCTGCCAGTGTCCCGCTGGGCTCCGTGGCGAGCGCTGTCAGACAGGTATGCCGTCCTCCTCCCGCTTCCCCAGAAACGCGGGCGGGATACCCCAGCGCAGGCTCGTAGCGCACGTGCTGTATCTCACCTCTCAAACCAGGCTGCGAGGAAGGAACGTACGGCGAGGGATGCCAGCGGCTCTGCGACTGCGTGGGTGATGTGCCCTGCGAGCCGGCCACGGGGCGCTGCCTGTGTCCCCCGGGGAAAACCGGCCTCACGTGCGGCTCAGGTGAGTTGAGCCACAGCTTGGGAAGGGGAGAAAGGGACTGTGCAGAAGGAGCATCCACAGTGGGCTAGAAGCCCAGTCCTAAAATAGATGCAAAACCCCTCTTGCTGGAGCTGAATTCTCATGGAAGGGGGCGTCCTTTTTTGTGTGTGCGCTCAAAGAGTCAGAGGGTATCTGACCAGAGGCAGTCGCCGCTCCAGCCCCTGTTTGTAGTCAGACCTGAATGCAAATGTGCCCCCAGCCTCCAGTGCTGTGGGCTTTAGCTCACCGGGGTCAAAAGGCTGAGGCTCAACTGCAGAAGGAACACCTTGGGATGCTCCGCTGCCCTGTGTCACCAGCGCTCGCGAGCACGCCGGGGGGAGCAGAGGCAAAAAGCGCTCTCTGCCCTCTCTGGCACTCAGCCGCCTCTGCCAGCCCTGCCCGCTGCCCAGCGGGGAACGGTGGGGCATCGGCACCGCTGCTCAGCCCCGGAGCAGCCTGACCCCTCTCTGGCCCCTCTCCAGACTGCCGACCCACCACGTACGGCCCCGACTGCAGCCTGCCCTGCCAGTGTGCCCCCGGCAGCTCCTACTGTAACGCGCGGAACGGACAGTGCCTCTGTCTGAGCGGGTACATGGGACCCACGTGTCGGGAAGGTAACGTATCGGCGCAGTGAGTACCGCTGGAGGCCAGGGCGGGGGGACGCTGCTGCGGGGAGGGATGCTGCGGTACCCGTGCTCGGGACGTCGCTCATGCCCCAGTGGGCTGGTTTTGGTAGTGGTATTAGCAAATAAATATAGTGTAGCAGCGGCCTCTTCCCAAGGCCCTCATTCGGTATGGTTTGTTCACCGGCACCCCAGCCACGAGGGAAAACGCAGGCTGCATGCTGACTGCTGTGAAAATAAAGCTGGTTAGTAGCCTGACCCCAAATGCGCCCGTGGTAAAGCCTGGACAGCGAGCCCACTCCTTTCTGGGCACACTGGAACAAAACGATCCCATGCACCGACCAGGGTGGAACCCCCCCCGCACCCCTCATTTCTGCCCAAACCATGAAGGAACCTGTTGGCTCAGAGCGACTGCCCCGTGGGCGCTGCTGCGGGGACGGGTGGCAGGATGCTCTGACTTGCTTTGCAGGTGGTACACCTCGTCTGCCCTCGGCCGAGCACCCCTCCTTGCTCCCAGGTCAGTAAGAGACCCCGACAAGTGGCCTACTATAACCTAAAAAGAACAGAGCCCGTCTGCGGGACCAGCGCGGGACCAGTGCTCCCAGCTCGTGCCTCCCCCAGCAGGACGGGAGCAGAGCAGCAGCGCCAGCGCATCAGCCCTGTAGCATCTCCCCTGACCTGTCCCCGCTTCCCTTCCAGCCGTGCAGCCCCCGGCGCCCACCGGGTCACCCCCTCCCCAGGGGGGGCTCCGGCCGGTCGAGCACTAGGTCCCGCAGCTGCCGACAGCACTCCCTCGGCGTCACCAAGCAGCCACCTGAAGAAGCCAACGACCTGTTTAATGAACTTGTTTACAAGCCACACGCGTGGTTATCGTTGCCTGACAGACTACGCTGCTGCTTTTGGGGTTGTCTGAGGGCGGCTGAAGCGCCGAGTGTAACCAGCTCACCACGGCGGCACGGGCTGTGCTCCGGGCACGCACACCCACACCGGCACGAGCCCTCGGCCACACGCCAGAAGGAACAGTTCAGAAGTGATCGCTTCTGGTCAGCGGACTTTGATAGCTCGTGGCCTTCATCTTTTGGGTGCTGGGCTTGGGGGAGGGAGCTGAAATTGTGGTCCAAAAATAGGTATTTATGCAACAGTATTTATGGGCAGCTGTACAGCAGCGTGGTCAGAACTGATGGCTGAACGTGCCCGGCTCTCCTGAGATCGTGGCTCCCATACATGGACTGCCTCACTTGAATTTTATATTATTTTTTTTTTAATTTGAGTTTGCAATGTTCTTTTACTGTAAATTATCGTTTGCTGGGGGTGAAGTGGGGGGGTGGGGTGAGGCATTGGGCTCTAGCACTGACCACAGCACCTCTGCAGAGCCGGTGCTCACAGCCCGACCATCTCCCTGCCAGCACCAAACCAGTGCCCCCCGAGTGCATTTCCAGTGACAGGCAGTGCCTGCCCCGCTGACAGCGCCGTCCGCTCCTGACAGGCTTTGGAGCCCGGTTTTCACTCCAGGAGCATGTCAGCCCACTTTGCTCCACCGAAAAGTACGCCGAAATTAAGTGTAATAATCAGAGATACCGTGTGGATAGACACAAAGAGGGTAGTCCGGTAAAGCACATCCCCAGTGAAGTGTTCCCAGCCCAGCGCAGACCCTGCGCTGTTTTCCCACCCCGGGTGAGCCCCGGAGCTGGGGAGGGGATGGAGGCGGGCGGCTGCACA